AGCTGCATGTGGGCCATTTTCCATTTTTCCCAGCTGGGAAGAAACCCTCTAATTGGATGGAGCTTGTATTGGTGGTATGTTTTGGAGAATCCCCTAGCTTCCCAAAAGAAGCATCAGAGAAATTCAGGAGCTTCATCAAGTGTTGCTTGGAGAAGGAACCGAGTAAGAGATGGACAGTCTCGCAACTCCTGTCACATCCCTACGTTTGCTTAGGGGAGAAACTGGGGAAATGACAGTAGAGGATAAATCAAACTATTTTTCGAGAACAAGGTAGGACGCATTCACCAGTAGTAGCTAAGAGTTTTGAAGATTTTGAAATGCAATTCGAAATGGCCCTTGGACCAATAAAAAAAAGAAGATAAATGTCCTCTTCAGCTTTTTTTTTTTATTCTTTAGAATATCCACAGTTCATCAAAATATTTTTGTGAGTCTGGCTTAATTATAAAAACAGAAGTTGAAATAAATTCAGGGGAATTTCTAACTCATTTGTTGAGCTTAATTTCTTTCTCTCTCTCTCTCTTTTTTATATAAAAAATCAAATATCAAAGGGCCGACGGAGGCCATGGAAAAAGAAGAAAAAAGAAAAAGAAAGTTCTACCCGTGGACACAGGAAAAAAGAAGAAGATAGACGGCAGCTATAACTTAATTTCTACCATTAATGATGTTGCAGAGCAAACTTTTAGAAGCACTTTAGTGATTCTATGAAAGGCTTTATCTGCACCTTTTTTATTTTATTTTTTTGCCCCACCATTATTAATCTTCCTTCAAAGTGCGAAAATAGTTAAAATACTCATTCCCTGTATTAAATTATTCATAGATAATTGTCGGCTAATAGTGAAACAAGTGCTGGCATATGAAAAATGTGTTTATGTGATAAATTATTTGCAAAGAAAAATGGGGTTTTAGAATATTTTGTTATTATAATATATTTTGAAAAGCATAATTTCGGGGATTTGTTTTTGTCCAAATCGTAAAAATAGATTGTAGGGTGAAACCAACACCGAACTTTCCTTGGATTTAAAGCAAGAGTAATGTTAATTAATTTTTTTTTTTTAAATCCTGTTTGAAGATCCTATTTGTTTAATTACTCGATCCATTAAACACATCCTGTAAAATATCTAGTATAATAAGAAAATGAAAAATAATGTTTATGCTGCTCAGAGCATTGAATTGAATCAGAACCTGTCTATTTTTGTATTTTAAAATAAAAATTATAAAAATTATAGTTTCATTTTTTTCGCTTTAAATTAATTTTTAAAATTTTTTTAGATATTTTAATACAATAACATTAAAAATAAATTTTAAAATATTATTTTATAATATTTTTAAATAAAAAACTTTATAAATAATTATTATCACTGGAAATGATAGGATTGTAGAATTTTTCAAATTTTCCAAGAGTTGAGGAAAGAGGCAAGAGATAGCATTTTGTCTTGGCTTATTATACATGATGTATCTCAAAGTCTCAAACACGCAATCCTCGAGCATGCACAACTTGACCACATTTCCATGCCATGGCACGAGAACACGCACCCCCCACGCTTTGGTTTCCAACTCTTTCTTGCATGGTTACTGTACCAGCCCGGCCTCGACACAGTTCCAGGTTGAGTTCTTAAAAAATTCAACTAGGAGTGATCGGCTTAACTTATAATTTATTTAAGTTAAAAAATAATAATATTATTTTAACTTATCCAGGTTAATTTAAATATATTTATTTTTTAATTTAAAAAAACATTTAATTTTTTATTTTAAATTGATATTTTTTTATGACATTGAATCTTTTGATGTAAATAATAAATTTTAAAGAATAAAAATAAATAATTTTAATTAAAAATATTTTAAAAAATAATTATCACAACAAATCTAAACTCTAAAAGATTCTTAAAATAAATTAGGTTTGATAACTTTGATTTCTTAAAATGGGTTGAGCTCCAGGCATTAAAAAAATTTCAAAATCTATCCTTATTTCCTAACTTAGTTACGAATTTACGACAATCAATTCTATAGAAACAAAATCATCTGTCGAAGAAAGAAATCGTTAAAATAATAATAATAATAATTATTATTATTTGATAATTAGAGAGGGTGGCTGGGTAGAACATTGCTGTTGCATGTCTGAGTGCGTTTGAACTCCGTAGTGAATTCTTTAACACTTGATCATTTATTATTAATTTTTTGAGTGATGGTGGTTTAAAAACTAATTTTTAAGTAATTTTAGGGGTAATATTTTGAGATTTTCTATTACCTTTTGTATTTAAATGATGGAGAAAGTTTATTAGGATTTAAAAAAAAATCATGACATTTCTATTACTAATATTGAATTTACATGCATTCATAATATTATTATTTTTAAATAAACTTTAATTTAAATGATATTAGTATGTTATTTTTCAAATTAAAACCATTGTAAGAAAATTTGTTTTTGTAAAAAACTTTAAATTATCTCAAGCACTTCTCTTAATAGTAATAAATAGTATAGCTATAGGGTGAATGACATTTTTTTTAAACCAAGCAGATATACAATCAACACTAACTAATTGTACAGAAAAAAGAAGAAGAAGAAGAAGAAACACTAGCTAAGCTAATGACATAGACTTAGGATGACAATTTAATCTGAATTTGATGGATTTTAACTTGTATTATTTTAATTATTTTATCTTGACTTATGTGAGTATTTTTTTAATTACTTTTCTTAATATATAATGAATATAATACAAATATTATTAAATTTAATTATATTTATATTATATAGATATATTTGTAAAGTGTTTAATTATTTTTTAACATAATATGATATATACATATATTATATATACATATCTTAATATTTAAAATATTATCATTTAATATATATATATATATTAAATAATAATTAAATAATAGATAGACAATAAATAATTTCTAAATTTCTTATCAAGAAATAATAAATGGAAAGTAAATATAACGGCTACTTACGAGCATCTTGGAACCGGGGAGTAGGGGAAAAAACGCTTGACTCCCGCAACCTAAATGTACAATCAATTTGATTAATTGTTTTTAAAATTTCACAGTTTCTTCCCTGAAAATTTAAACTATATTCCAGTTTTTTCCCATAAACGACAAATATGGTTTTTATTTTCCTTTTAAAAAAATCATTTAATTTAATCACAAGAAAAAAAAATCGCTTAACATGGTTAAGTGTTAATCTCTACCAATCTATATTACGTCATGGACATAGATACAAGATATAATTACGTCATGATATAGATACGAAGATACGATAATTTTAAAATATAACATGTGAGGAACGTTAAATTTTTTAAATTATTTTATATCATACACATAAAAAAATATGTTTGGAAAGTAGATTAAAAACCAGCACTAAAAAATCAATATAATGAATTGTATATACATATCATTTTTTTTATTTTTCTTAAAATAAAAAATAATTTTGAATGTCTAAAAATTAAATTATCTTGACTATGATGCTTGCGTTTTTCACTTCAAATAACTCTTGCATAAAATATGATCATATCTTCACATAATATTGCATTAATTCTTATTATTATATTAAAAAAAAGTTGATAAATTATGGATAATTAATTGAAAAATGTTGAAGTAAGAGTATTAATTAATGTTTTTTTTTTAAGTCACAAAACTTAAAACTATATTTGGATTTATTTTTTCAAAACAAACTACAAATTTAACACCAAAACGTTACACGTATCATATACTTATTAACCAAAAACTAAAAGAGCAGGGGTCTTTACCTTCAGGTTTTTTTCCTTTTTAGGTTTTTTAATTTATTTTTTTAATTTATTCTTAAATATTAAATTTATTAAATATTAATTTTTATAATTTACTTTAAATTATTTTTTAATGTTTATTTTAATATCATACCCATGTAACATATTTAACTATTTAACTTAGTTATTTCAAGTTTTTTTTTTGTAATTTTATTATTTAATATTAAACTAATTAAAAATAAATTTTTATAATTTATTTTGATTTATTTTTTATAAAGTTATTTTAATCTCATAATTTTAATCATGAGTTTGATAAGTTAATTTAGACTGGATCAATTTTTTTAAAATTATTTTTTTTAATTTATTTTTTATTATTAGATTGATTGAAAATTAAATTTTATAATTTAATTTAATTTATATAAAATTATTATATTTTTATAAAATAAATCATAGATTTGATAAGTTAATTTAGTTTCATTCTAGTTAATTAAATGTATTATCATCTCAATATTTTAAAAAATAAGTATTATTTTTTAATTTTTTAATCAAATTATATTTTAATAGATTATTTAAATTATATTTAGATCCATTAAATTAATTAAAATATATTAATTTAATTCTTATTTGATTTGGTTTTTTTATAAAAAATATATATTAAAAATGAATGAATATTTAATTTATATTAATTGTTTTTTACCCTGCAACGTACATGACGATTGAATGTTTTAGACGTAGCTATATCTCTCCAACATCCTCCACCTATTCGAAATTAAATTGATTTCTTATTATTTCTTTGCTTTATCCCTATGTATCTAATACGTATCCAATGCATATCATGTCCAGCATGAGCTTGATATGGATATGGGGGATTTTTTTAGAGTATTAGTATTTTTTTTCTACCAATTCAAATAAATATATTCTTTAGGCCTTCTAAGTCTTTATCTATGGACCCGTCACATAATTATAATCTAATTATATGATGCAGTTGATATGATGGTGTTTTTTATTAATGGTTTGGATTAGTTATATGTGTTTTAAAATAAACGAATAAGAAAAAAACAACCAACGAATATATACTGTGTATTATGCATAAAGACATGTTTATACAGTATAAATAACATCAACATAGAAAGGATAACATATGCTATTTAATAATCTGGACCTAATTAAAAATTATAACCTTTGAGGGGCTAATCGTTACCATCCCAAATAATCAAGGACTAATTCTGAAGTTCTCTGTTCGTGTTGTGAATTTGTTTTTGAAAAAAAAAGAAAAAAAAAAGACAGGAGACCGGTTGGTACGAAACAAAGCAGCTTCGCTGTTGTGTTGTGTTGTTCACGTTCTCTTTCTCCCCGCCTTCCACGTCAGGTACGATACCATCTCCTTCCGTCAATTTTGCTTCCTAAATCCCTCTGTTTCCTAATCCGTCACAAATTCCGTCTCCTCCTTCCCTTCTGTTATCCGTTTATTGCAAGTAATCCTTGCTTGCTCCATCACTCTTTGCTTAGGGCTTAAAAAAGAAAACCTAAATTATATATAATTATTAAAAATAGTAGGGTTTGGGAATTCTGATTTGAATTATTCTGAAATGGCGAACACCGTTGACGATGACGCCGATGCGGTGTTGAGCGATGTGGAAGGGCATGAACCGGTGCCGATCGTAATGAAAAGTCCGAGTCAAGAAGATATTTCCGTCGAGAAATTCCGCGAGCTCCTCGATCGAGAGCGAGCGGCACGGGAGGCAGCCGAGACTTCGAAATCCGAAATTCAAGTGTCATTCAATCGATTAAAAGCTCTTGCGCACGAAGCAATCAAAAAGCGAGACGAGTGCTCGAGGCAGAGAGACGAAGCGATGAGAGAGAAAGAAGAGGCGTTGAAAGCTAACGAGAAATTATCGAATGAATTGATTCAAGTGAACAGGTCGAAAGAGGAGACTCAGAAAAAATTCGATGATTTGCAATCGGAGACTGAGAAATCGAGGCATATGTTAGTGAGTGGAATTGAGAAGATATCGGGGAAGCTTAGTAATTTCAAGAATTTCGCGGCGGAAGGATTGCCTAGGTCGCAGAAATACAGTGGATTACCGGCGGTTGCCTATGGAGTTATTAAGAGGACAAATGAGATTGTTGAGGAGCTTGTTAGGCAGATTGATGTCACTGCAAAATCTAGAAATGATGCGAGAGAGCAGATAGAGCAGAGGAATTACGAGATTGCCATTGAGGTTTCTCAGCTTGAAGCTGCAATCAGTGGATTGAGAGATGAAGTCGCCAAGAAAACGACTCTGATTGAGGGTTTAGAGAAGAGTGTGGTGGAGAAAGAGGGGAAAGTGTCGGAGATTGAGAGAGAGATGTTGGAGAAGATGCATTTGGTAGAGAAGGAGGCTTCGGAGATGAGGGACTTAGTTGGTGAGTATGATGACAAGTTGAGGAATTTGGAGTCGAAGATGGAATCGCATAGACCTTTGTTGTTTGATCAGTTAAATTTGGTGGCGAAAATCCATGACCAGCTTTATGATGCTATTGAGATAGTTAACACTAGTCATTTGAATTCCGAGGTGTCAGAGTCGCTGTTTCTTCCCCAACAAACGGATGTGGAGGAGAATATCCGTGCTTCTTTAGCGGGGATGGAATCAATTTATGATTTGAGTAGAATTGTTGCTGAAAAAACAAGGGATTTAGTAGAGGAGAAGAATCATGAAGTGAAGAATTTGAATGAAACAGTGGGTCGATTAATGAAGGAGAAAGAACACATTGGTACTTTACTTAGGAGTGCCTTGTCGAAGAGGATGAAATTAGATCCATCCTCCAAAACAAATGAGTTGTTTCAAGTTGCTGAAAATGGTTTAAGAGAGGCTGGGATTGATTTCAAATTCAGTAAAGTCCTTGGTGATGGTGAGGTATCTGGTGATAAAGGCGGTTCACTGGAAACAGAGAGTGATGAAATATACACTCTAGTAAGTGCCTTTTAGAGTTGATTTGTTCAATCCTGTTTTTTATGTTTGTATGTTTGAAATCCTAATTTGTTGTTGCACTCGTATGTTGCTCACAGGCCGGTGCTTTGGAGAACATCGTTAAGGCATCTCAGCTTGAGATCATTGAGCTGCAGCATTCTGTGGAGGAACTAAGGTATTTAGAATGATTCCTGTAATCGTAAGGCTGCATGTGGACCGTGAACATGTTCTCTTTTTGTACTGACTGGGCTGCTATGTTTTGTGGTTACCTGTATTAAGGGCAGAGTCAAGTTTACTTAAAGAGCATATAGAGATTCAAGCCAAGGAACTAAGTCATAGACTGCGCAGGATAGAGGAGCTTGAAGAGAAGGAGAGAGTGGCAAATGAAAGCGTAAGCTGTTAATGTTTTGCTGAGATCAGTTCAACGTCAGGCAGTTAACTGCACTGTCCATGGAACACTTCAGAAGGACAAATAATCTTTTGCGTTTTGGTGTTCTGATTACCAAGTTCACCTCTCTGGCATTGTAGGTTGAAGGACTCATGACGGACATTGCTGCTGCAGAAGAAGAAATTACAAGGTGGAAAGTAGCAGCTGAGCAAGAGGCTGCTGCGGGTAGAGCAGTTGAACAGGAGTTTGTGGCTCAGGTATGTTGAACAGATTGGTCATAAAATTTGTGCTTGGACATTTTACCTGATATTTGATGGCTGATTGTGTGAGCTTGTGAAACCCACTTTCTTTACATCGTAATTTAACCAAATGACTTTTGTCATTGAATTTCCAAATAATAATAGAAGGTGCTTTTGCAAGTAACTTTTGAGATAATGAATGATTCTTTGATTGGCAAGAGCAGTTTAGCTTGAGCAAAATAAAATAATGAGAATGAAACTAGAAGCTGGTTAGAGCAAAAGGCAATAGAGAAATGATATGTTACAAACCAGAATTAAGCAGGTTTTGTTAGACACTGCAATTCTAGGAAAGTAGGTGAGAAATAATGGCTCTATCATATTGTTGGCTAGAGAAGGTTTCATTTGTTGAATAGAAGAGGCTTTAGACTAATGAGATATCTTGAGAGCTATAGTTGAAAAGCCCTCGTTGATTCCAAATCCACTTCTTTTCTGGTGCCACTCATAGATTGAAACATGGGAGGCATAATTGTTCTTTTTTTCTGTCTTTTTTTTTAATATTGAAATTATGGAATTTGGTTAATATGTTTACATTCAATATGGTGCAAGACAGCTTGATGAACTGTTTAAAGCAAAGATAAAAAAAATCCGATGCATCTTGATACTCAAAATACTTTCCGAAGAAGTACTGGTTGGATCTTGTGCTTAATCATTATTTATTTGCAGCTGTCGGCAGTTAAACAAGAACTTGAAGAGGCAAGGCAAGCCATATTAGAATCAGAGAAGAAGTTAAAATTCAAAGAAGAAACAGCAGCTGCTGCCATGGCAGCAAGAGAGGCTGCTGAGAAGTCATTGAGTTTGGCTGACATGAGGGCGTCTAGGCTGAGGGATAGGATAGAGGAGCTCAGCCATCAGCTGGAAGAGCTTGAAACTCGAGAAGATTTGAGGGGTCGAAATGGGCCTAGATATGTATGTTGGCCTTGGCAGTGGCTTGGGCTGGACTTTGTAGGCTACCGCAATACCGAGACACAACAACAGAGTTCAAATGAAATGGAGCTTTCCGAACCCCTCCTATGATCGTCTCGTTTCATTTTTCCTTTTTTGTGTATGTATCACGAACTCTCAAAATTATAGAAATGATAGTCAATACATCTTCATTCTTCAAGATTAGCATTTTTTTCCCCATATAATGAAGAAGATTTACACAAGCATATGCATGATTGACTCTGCTGTATACGACTCTGATGACCTACTTCTGAACATTGCCCAAGATGATGTACTTTACAGTCAAGATGGAGCAGCTTCTTGTCAAATTTCTTCCATTCAATCTCTGTTTTCTTCTTCTCATTATTGTGATTCAACTTTTAAGGTCTTATGCCTAGTCTTCCACGATCCTTTCATATGGAGTCAAAAGAAAGATCTCCAAGTTGCCCGTTGTTTTCTCCGTAACCTGTGTGCATCTTTTATGGTTCTTTCGTAGTTCTAAAGCTCTTCTTTCAGGTTTTGATGGGCATCGATCTCATTGGACACGGAGGATACATCAATCTTCAGGATCGCAGAGTGAAATCGAATTTACATCTGACCATGATTTGTTGGTAGCTCTCAAGATCCGTTCTCAACACTGGTGGCAGAGTTTAGAAGAAGGCAGCTGGACAAAGCAAGGAATGTTCAACTCCTGTTGACAAAAGTGCAAGACAATATGTTCCACTCACGCACGCACTTGAAGCTTTTGGAGACTGAATTTTTTTTTTTAATTATTTTCTTGGGCTGAAGAAGATAGGTTCTATAATTCATTTGGTAAGTAAGTGTACATCCAACAGCACATCCTCCACCGCATGTAAATCACACATCTCATTTTATCTGGTTGTGCCCGCTGAGGATAGTTGATAGGCATAGGAAAAGAGGCATCTTCTTAGAGATGGTGAGGCCAGCTGCCTCCTCCATGTTGATGTCTACTGTGTTGGGTAATTTCCAATCAAAACAGTATAAGAGATTAACGAGTGCAAGCTCCACCATTGTTACTCCCACAAGTATCCCAGGACAAACTCTTTGACCAGATCCAAATGGCAAAAACTCAAAACGTTGTCCTTTATAGTCAATGGGGCTGTCAAATCTTTCAGGGAAAACTCTTCCAAATCTCTCTAGTACTCAGGATCTCTTCCAATTGCCCAAGCATTAACTTGCATCAGTGTTTTGAGGTAAATGTCATAACCATTGATTTGACAGCGAGACATGGTTTCTCTTGGGAGAAGTGGGGGGGGGGGGGGGGGGCA